ACCCAAAGCCTTGAAGAAATAAGAGGGAGCGCCTTTGTGCTTGCTCCAGCACTCGACCGCATGCACAGCACTCACCCTCACAGCCTGCCAGGTACTCACTACTCTGACGCGGAAGGGGTAGTCGACTACGTCACAGAGTTGCTCGAACCTGAAGTGGGGGTATAAATGCACCTCTACCTTTTGCTGCATCACATTTCGAGCAACTCGTGACAAAACAGCTGGTCCGACTTTGTGCTGTTGTTTGTGCCAAGCGTAGGAAGTAACACACTTGAACGTTGCATGTTTGTTTTTTGGTCATGCATGTTTTAGTTGTGCTTTCCTACTTGGCAAACATGTTTACTTCCGTAGCTTGGCTCTAGCCGCAGGCTAGGTAAATTTTTCACCCGCCCGCCACACCCTAAGTAGCGCATGCACGCATTGCTAATGAAAACACAACATGCTTCGCACGCATTGCATTCATACCACAGCACGCATTGCACGCAATGCAACACATCAAGCACGCATTGCTGCGGCTTCTCACATTCGTTTCACAAGGGGGGTATAGATGCACCTCTACCTTTTGCTGCATCACATTTCGAGCAACTCGTGACAAAACAGCTGGTCCGACTTTGTGCTGTTGTTTGTGCCAAGCGTAGGAAGTAACACACTTGAACTTCATGTGGTTTTTGAAATCAACAGTGTTTCTCTAACCCAAAAATATTTTACAAACGTTTCATGGCCATTCAACTTGATTGTCTCTCATGCTTGACATCTGTTGGTTGATGCGTTTGCTCAGTGGTTCGGGCAGAGTGAAATTTTTGTCCCACCCAACCCACCTTGAGTTTTGTTGCCTAGCCCCGCCGTTGTGACTGCGGGGATTCGATACAGGCATTCCCCACTGGAGAAAATGAATGGTCCGCGAATGTCTGCAACTTTGATCGAGAGATGATTTGATCTGGTGATTGAATATACTTTTTCAAATTTGGAAGCAAATTCGTGGTGGCAAAATATTGTAAGGGTGTTGACGTGTTTCATACAAATGCCGGCTTTTGACCGGTTTGTTGACGGAGCATTTGGTTTATGTTGGAAATAAATTGCACCAAGGCACACACATAAAGACATGTCAACAGGACACATGGGTTGATTCGTAGGTTTTTGATCACGAAGCCTTGGGCCATGTTACAAACAGCGGGGAGTGTTGGCCAGAATTTGAAAAAAACTTGGGGTTTGGAGCACACAACAAATGAGTTTTGCAAGCCCTCCCATTGCTCCAGTTACATCGTTCGGCACTCATCACTCCGTTGTTGTTGTTGTTGTTTCGTGGTGTTTCAACGGGTGTTTTACCGCGTGTGCTTTGAGGCCATTGGGGTCGTTGGTTGCAGAGAACGAGTTGCGCCATTTCTTGAAGCTTGCACGGTTGGCGGCTTGATTAAGCAGTTTGCGCTGTTGCGACGAATTTGTCATTGTAGAGTCCGAAGTTGACACAGTGGTGACATCCAGGCCAGAGTGGTCCAAACCACGTCGTAGAGGACGCAGCGACATTGTCCGTGTGTTAGCGAAGTTGAAGGCCTGCAGCTGCAGCGTATTGCGCAAAAATCATGCAGTAAGCGGAATCTAGCTGTTATCACAGCAGGCAGTCGGTGTCAACGACATTGACACTTTGATAAGGAAGGTGGAGAAGAACACCATCAATGAGGCCAAATGTTCAGCAGTCAGCCCATAAAAACTGATTGAGCTTTGGTGGCAGGAATTGTACAACAAGGGCTTAATGCCATTGAGCCGAGCCGCATTGGACTCAATCAGAAGGCAGAAAACCTTCATGCAGGCAGGCAGGGGTTAGCTCGAAAGCGAGTGCCAGTTTCTTCAGGCTGTTTTGTGCTGCTCTACTCACAGACTACTGGTCATTTTTCCTTCGTAATTGACGATGTTTGTGTTTGTTTTGCATTGCATTCTCAGACCTTGTTTTGCCTTCAGGCACTTGAGTCTGTTGACGTCCCAAACATCCGGCAGGTTCGGTATGGTTCGGTGCTTTGTGTGCTGGCCAGTGACGTGCTAGTACCAAGAACAGGTTGGCGTGTTCGACCCCGTCGCGCAGATGCTGTCAGAGCCCTCGGTTGTGTACAGTGCCTGCTCTACCCAGCGTGAACCCAGATTTCCTGAGTGGTTGACAGGTCCCGGAAACCCTTGCCAAGTTTGGTGCCCAGTTCTCCCCACACGCGTTTTGGTATTTGGAATCCTTGCAGATGCAACAACTAGCACACGACGTTCCTCGCCGTCTAGACGTGAGGAAGGCCAGATCACAGCGATAGTGGCCGCAACTAGCACTTGGTATGTGGTTTACTGCCCACCGCGCCAGGAAGGAGAAGCCTTCGCCAAAGACGCACTGGCAAGTTTGCTTTGAGATTTTTGGCTACTCTGGGCGTTTGCTTTTCCAAAAAATCAGGCTTGCCTGCCAGTACCGCTGAAGGGACAAGTATCACGCCGGCACCCCATCTTCATCTGCAAGCAAAGCATAGGCTTGTAATTCTATTCGATCGCTTTCGTACTTTCTGCTCAAGATCGTCGATTCTTGTTTACCGAGGCCCTTCATACCCGATTTGTCGCCACCAGGGAGGTCACAATCTCATCATGTCTTCCGAACTCAAGTGATTCTGTGGATCCTTGAAGCCTGTAGAGTCCGACGCGATAAGCCCAAGGCCGTGTTTGTTTCCACGGCTTCGGGGAGCAGCTTCTTCCAGGTTAGAACTGTCTTGACATGGATGATGCAGCCCTTTTTCTGGCTGCCATCCAGCAAGCTTTGTGAGTTTCACGAGTGTTGATTTATCTCTCTTGGAAAGGCCTGGCAGGCTATCCCCGCTGGACGCCCATGCTGCGACAGACGGTGTGCATCCTCAGTTGCAAATCCGCTGCAGTGCACATCTTCAACTAACTTTCGACCACGAAGTGTTTGTCCAAGTGATTCAAAGGCGAGGCTCATTCATTGACCGCATTTTGGAATGAGTGGCTGGCGATCTGCAGCGTAGCATGAAATCTCGTGAAACTCCAAAGAGGTATGCTGTCTGATCAGTAGCATGGTTGGAAATTTGAATCCATACAGTCAGATGTCTTTCATGCTGTCTTTAGTCTTTCTTCATTGACGAAAGGTAGCCTATGGGATAGGTGTCATTGAGGTAAGACAAGACTTCCCACAATCCTTCCATGGAGGTGAAAACCCTTTTCCAACGTTTTCCACGATCTACGGGGCTTTTGGACGAAACACGGTGTGTGACGATCGCATGTTTTGCTGAAACCAAGGCTTCTCGCACCTTTCCTCAACGGAGCCAGGCCAGATAGGCAGCTCGCGGAAATCATTATTACCTAGGTACATGACATAGCACTTCACAGAAGCAGGTCGCTCTAAATCTTTCTCAACATCTGAGAACTTGCCACATTCTCAGGTTTCTTGTGAGATTCTATTCAAGTGTGTTGATTTGAGAGGCTCGCAGAATGCCCCCTCCTTCATGGCATGATGCCTGTGCATTGTGAGGGTGGGCGGGAGCGCTTTCGGCAGCTCGCGGGAAAGCAAGGCCTGAAGCCCTTAGAGGGGAAGAGAACCGAGCTTGTCAGCTGCATGCTCCAAAGAGCGAGTGGATTCAAAAGGTGACTTGGTCCGCCACCTTGCCGGCGGGACAGTCGAAACCTTGTGGGTCTTATGTCATTGCTTGAATGTTTGCCGAATGCCGGCCGTGGGACATTTGCTGTTGTGTATTCCCCAGGCTGGATGTGGACGATGCTTCTTGGTTGCATCAAAACAATGAAGGGGGGTTGTGAGGTTCGATAACGCTGAGGTAGAAGTGGGCGAAAGCTTGCGCCACAGGCTAAGAGTGGTTGTTAGAGGTCAGACTTGCTGACAAAAAATGCAGAGCAAGCTGCACAGGGAAGCATGTGTAGTCACCTCTGCAAGGCATCTCGAAGAGAGCCGGGTGCTTTGGCGTTCGGGTCCGAACATGTTCGTGTTGTTCTGCATTTCCGCCTCATCGCAGGCGAGCACAACACCGCTGTTGCCCGACGCCGGTGCGCCTTTGGTCTATCCATCTGCTGCATCTTCGGTTCACCGCGTTTATGCCACTGCAGCAGGAGCTTCTGCGCGCATGTCAGTTTTGCAGCAACCTGAGAACATGCAAGCATGTAGTTGCCTGTTGTGGAGTTTATGCAGCACCGTGCAGCTGTGGAGTCTTCGGTTGCAGATCGCGATCCACTGACAATCATCATCGTGGCGTCCAACCTCCTAGTATGGATGAGGACGGTACTTCTCCACTTACTGTTTAAAGTTCACAGGGCTTGGGAGAGCCAGTCAAAGATGCTTGCAGCAGATGCTGGCCTTGCAGCGAGCTGGCCAGCGAATCCTTCAAAATCTCGAGGTGAGCCTGCTTCATGTTCAAAGTTTTTCAGTTTGTGTTGCAACGCAGACGCAGAGATTATGCAGAAGATTGTGCCAGGACCGGCGTGGGTCAGCTGCGAAATGGAGCCGCCACCTGAGAACTGCATGCGGTCTTGGCTCCTTGAGGCCACGCAATCTTAAAAGGACCGTTGATCTTCTTGGCAGCCTGTTTGTCTTGTGTTATTCAGTAGGCAAGCCAGGTGCTGCAATTTTCAATCTAAAGTCTGGCCATGTTTCCTGGGCTTGTGAAACAAGGTCCCAAGAGCTGCAAAACTCCGCTTGAGCAGGGGGAGGACTGATGACGGTCTAAGCGTTTTGACGTATTGGGCGTAGACTGCAGCTGTCACGTTGCAGTGGATATATCAGGCCGCAACTTGCCTTCCGTTACAGGTAGGAGCAGGAGAGACCCGTTGCATACCCCTTGGTTGGCCTAGTCCTCAATTGTAAAATCTGGCGGCCTGAGTCGGCAAGATTGGGTTCCAGCGATTCTTAGTAGGTAAACTCAAATTGCCATAAGCTGTGCGGTTGCGGATTGGCTGTGTTCATCTGTCTGTGCAACGTTTGGGGAGGTTTCCAGATCGCAATAGCAGCAACGCAGCATCAGAGGCGAAGCGGATCATACTCATGGTCCTGCTTCAAACTGACTTTGTCAACATCTTCATCACACATTGGATGTGGGTGCAGACAATGCTGGCTAACAGTGGCCCATCGGCGTTTCCTGTTGCGGATCTACAGGACATGCTGCTGGAGCAAGTGGCTTTGGACGAGCGTGAGCGCCTTGTTAGACTCGCTCTGTGCTCGGTTCTTTTTGCTGGGTGCAGTGCTCATGGTGCAAGGTAGTGCCTAGCTGGCTGGCCATAAGCTGAGGTAAAGTCGAAGTCAAATCCATCAGATCCCTTCAGGCTGCATTGGCGAAGCAAGAACTTGTGAGTTGTAACGCTCGCGCGAGTGTGCGAGTCCGGCTTGGTACCCTCTTAGCTCGCGGAGAGAGTCAAGCCAGGGTGCGACTTGCTATGGCATGAGGCAGAGGTGCTGGGGAAAGAAGAGGAGCAGTTTAGTATCTCCTTTGGTGACAGAGTGGAGGGAGAGAGGGAGTAGAGCGGAGGAGGTGATGGGCTATGGGGGGATGGGACTTGTTCCTACCAACTCGGCTGGTGCGAACCACAACCGAGCCATGATTTGGGAGAATGGAATTTGTTTACGTCTTCTGAAAATTGTGTACTAAGCCGGTTTTTATAGTGCAAGGTTGCACAATCTGATTGGCAACCCTGCAGGAAGGGAATTTATGCTCAAGAAATCCGCGTTTCAGTAAGGACCGTGCTGGATTAGGATCACCAAGACTCTGCACAGAATACAATCTGTAAAAGCCCGAAAAGGTCATGATGTGAGCATCATTTTCAGGTATAATTTCCCGGGATATAAGGGTCACCCATCTAATCTCCCATGTTTGCCCCTGGATAAGTCCTATAGCTCCCTGTCAGGGCCTGGGTTGCGGGATGCGGGTGGCCGGCGTCACACCATGTCACACCCGGAGCTTGCCTGGTTCAAAATTTGGGTTGGGGACGGTGTGGGCAGTTGGGCAGGAGCGTGTACGATCAAGGAGTGTGGGAAGGGGGCAGGGAGTGGGTAAACGATTAGATTCAATCCTGGTCTGTCTGTTCCAGACACCTGTTGGAGGCAGTCTTCTTCAAATCACCATGCCTGCAAGTTGTTGCTGAGCAATGTGTGAGTGGCCAGGGGACATATTGCTCAAAACATCAAGCTTCGATTGGAGCAGACGGCAAACAACGATTCGACTGAGGCCGATCGTTTAGGGAATGCTTTTTGACACTGTAAACCACTGCAGTCTTCTTGCTGTGCAGCTATTGACTTTGCTAGGGCCTGGCCATAAACCAACGGTGCTTGAACATCCGCAAGCAGCTGGCGTGGAGCTCAATCACAACGAGCTCATATGGATGGGACAGGCGCTGGCTGAGTGCAGGCAGGTATGGTGAACGCCCGGAAGGAACTGGCGTCCCTGCGAGCGAAGGTTTGGCTCGATAGCTGTCCAGCTGGCAAGTGGCTCTTTTGCAAATATTCATCCCTTGGTGGAGGTCCATCTTCTGATGGAGGCTGGATGCGATCTTGCTCAACGCGCGCAGATCTTGCCGAGCGGCTTTCTTTCATGCGCATCCTTCGCTAGGAGCCTCTTCTTCCCAAGCTCATTCTGGACTCCTATGGGCTTTTTGCTGAGCTCACTGAGGCAAGGGATCAATAGCAGCGGTAGTTTGCATTCTGCTCGCCTGTCTACTATCTTTCTTTGAAAGAAGGTTTTAGTCCGTAATTATGAAGTGGGGGAGAGTGCTCAAAGCACTGAACATCCACACTCAGATTTTGAGGCCTCGAAGAGGCACTGGCATAGAATTTAGCATAATTTAGCCACCAGCAGCACTCCCTGAAGGGGTCAGCTTGCCTGGCAAAAGGACTTGCGGATGATTGAATCTCGATGCTGACCTTTCCATGGTGTTCCCAAGTGCCAAGTCTGCTGCACCTTGTGGAATTGCACAGCCAGCCGGTCCACTCATGACCTGCTTCTGCTGAGTGAGTCGTCGTGACTGTCTTGCAATCCGGCTCAGCAGCGGCCGCTGCCCTGCGGTGAGCTTTGCTGTGGCCCTACAGAGCTGCTGGAACCTTGGGGCTTCCATGTTGCAAGCATGCCATCCGTGATCCTTTACACAAACAGTAGCTGTTGTGGAGTTGGATCTCTTGGACAAGATCCATTTCAGGACTGCCATGGTCAGAAAGCGTCTTCTATTTGCTGGTGCTCTGCTGGCCAACTGTGCAGGACTTGTGACACTTTATCATGTGTACAATAGTGGCAGCGTGTTGTTGTAAAGACCTTTGAGTTGTAGACGTCACGAGCTTTGATGGGAGGCCCGAGCACATGCTTGTGGAAGGGGGAGGGGGTGGAGGAAGAGATGGCTGTTCTTGTGCGATGGCCCCCACCTGTGCTGTGAGGAGCTGATTCTTGCATAAAGGAGAAGTCGACCTACTATGATGATTCAGTGCCGCCGGTGGCCGGGGCCTGAGTGCACGTTTCAAGTTCCTTTACCCGTTCCAATCCTCTCTGAACCGAAAGTCTTGCTTCATGGCAGGATGTGGGGTATTCAAAATCTCCTCAAGAATGCCAAGCTGCCCGAAGCTCGGTCCTGAAGTTTAGCGCATCTCACAATTGTACACGGCCCGATGCTGCAAGCAGGCCTGTGCGAAAAGTGTGGGCTGCGATGTGTCTTGGCGCGAACAGCAAGTAATTGGAATCTCAGCCGATGAAGTCTTGGAGCAGGCGTGGACTTACCTAGATGATTCGGAAGTCTGCTGGCAGCTTCCGATGACTACGCAGGCTTCCTCCTGGATACTTTTGTGTTAGAGGACGGTGAGAGACTTTCCCGTCCCAGCTGGTCCTGATTCGCAACGAGCATGGCACAAGCGGCCTCAAAGACTGCGTGCCCGGACAGCTTGCAAAAAGGCGCGCCACAATCAGCATTTGCCATTACCAATAGCGGTGGTCCATTGCTGCCTCCAGGTACGCTGCAGCTGCTGCTTTGTTGCACTAGTGTTGCACTCTGAGTAGCCTTCAGCATGGTGCAACAGTAGCACTTTCTGCCCGGTCCTTTCTGTTTCATTTTGTGTGACGCTTGAACTGGTCTTGTCGCAGTACCAGCACTGGGAGGCACCTGTGGTGCCATCTCCTGTGACTGCAGCACCAGTGGCATACCAAGGAGCTAAAATCTGACAGAAACGCCGAGGCAATGTCTTGTCACAATATCATGCCTTGGCATGTTCTGGAGGAGCTCTTCTTCCAAAGTGCTCGTTCAGAGGGAAGGCGCTTCAGGATCCAAGCGTTCAGACACTGAATGGTGGAAATCTGGCCTCCGCGTTGGACTGCCAAGCAAGCTGCGACTCACGGCCCACGTGCAAGCATTGGACCTTCTACAACAACACTGGTGGGTGTTGGCTTCAGGGGGCCAACGTGACTGAGTTTCTTAGCGAATTTGCCATCAGCGGGCCAAAGCTTTGCGCAAAGCCTTTGCCATCTAGTGCCTACGAGGCTGGAAAAAGCATCACAAAGTCTGGACAACTAGTCATGATGAGGTCTATACCTCGGCCAAGCTGCTCCAATCGTGGCCAGGCATACCACTCGCCCACGATACGCACACCAACTGGTGCCTTTGTCGCAGATGCAGCTGCCTGCCAGCTTTCCTGCCAAGCATTGTCAAGTTGCACCAAATTTACTTTCTACATCGATTCCAAAGCTTGCTGGCTACTGGATGACAATGTCACAACCTTCGAAAGCGAGATGGCCATCAGCGGGCCAAAAGCCTGCGCAGAGCCAATGGTAGCAAAGTCTGCAGGGGCTCCAATGCGTGTGGCGCTGGATGCAGATTCAATTGAGGATGCCCGAGGAAGTCAAGCAATGGACTCGGACCGGAGCAGTTTCATCAGCAAACAGGACCTGCGACGGACTGGGGTGTCGAGGCCTCTACAGTCAATGATTTAGAGTGTTTAAGACTTGGCTGTTGCAGGCTCAGCTTTGCTAGCCTTGGTCTGGCGCTTGCCTGAGCAATTTGCTGGCATGATGGCGCCAAGTGAAGTGACGCAGAAGCTTTGAGAGGTGGCCGGCTGTTTGGTGGTGGCCTCTGTGGGTCGGCTGCTGCAGGCTCACTGCATGCAGACTGCCTCAGACTCTGCTGCCAACACTTGAAAGGCAACAGGTTGGTTTTAAAGCGACAACCCTCCTGTGCTGGGGCACTACTTGGATGCGGCTGCGAAGTACCTTGCAAAAAGGGGTGGGTCAAGTGGGTCAAGTGGGGCAAGTGAGGCAAGTATGCTGCTGAGAAACGCAGGAGCAGAGGTGTGCTGGTGGGATTGCGGGACACCTGGGTTTTCCAATCTGCGCAAAGCCTGGTTGCCCTGCTGACCATCTCGGCTACATGACACAGAATTGAATGCTCCGCAAGATGCAACATACATGCAAGTCAAAGACTTGAGCAAACATGCCTCGAGAGGCCAGCACCTGGCACCAGAGGCTTGCCCATGCTAGCCACATTGCAAATCATTGCTCTGCTTTTCGGCAAAAGCGCGCCTCGACTCGCGTTGACCAGGCAAAGTCACAGGGACGAGCTTTCGTCACTGGACTGCTTCACACGCTTCAGGTAGTTGCTCTCAACACGCCGCCTGTTGCTGCATGCGAGGACCCTGGGCAAGCTTTGGTGGAAGAGGCGGCTCCGATATCCATCAGCTAGTGCGGTTGACCAGCTTAGGCAGCAAGATCCTTGTAAGTGCACCAGTTGGTGCACCATACCAGTCATTTACTGCCAAGAAAAGTGCGAATGATCTGTTACGGCAGTTGACAACGGCAGGGGCCCGGGCAGACCCCGTAAAGTGGAGCCAGAGTCGCGGATGTGATGTCTATTGGAGGCCAGGAGCCCAGATTTTTCGATTATGATATCATTCAGGATTCGGAAGCAAAGCATGGGCCAGCAGTTTTCAAACAAGTTTTGCCTTTTTGCTTCAGACCCGGCTTGGGAGGTCATGAACTCTTCAACACGTTGAGTGGCTTCCCGTTGGACTGCAGATCAGTGGATTCTCCTGGGCCAACCGGCGATATGCGAGTGCTCATGTGGGCTTCGGTGACACAAGGGAAGTTCCCCCTTGCGCTTTGAGGAAATACTCTAGCGAGAGGATCTTCTGTAGTGTTCCGCAGAACTTAGGCGGAACTGATGAAACCTACTTTAAAGCAGTGCTCAGCACAAAGCTGCTGGAACCAAAAACATGCTGCTCTGGCTGACATTAAGTTGATCGCAAGCTTCCAAGGGGAACGATCTTTATGTGATCTGACCCAATAGCGCTTGGCCCGAGACCAGGAGCGGGCGAGTTACGCCCGACCCGGTCAGCCTTGACGCAGGCCCCGGCCTCTCCGAAGTGGATGGAGGCGAAAGGGGGGTAGTTAGGACAGTAGGTAGGATTGTAGACTTGGGCCGCAACATATCTGTTGGATTATGGAGTTTCCATGAGTTCCCACAACATGTTGGTAGCCTATGCGCTAAGATGCTTAGTGCAGTCAACGAGATGGATCATGCAAGGTAATTTTGCTTGGGAACCCAGACAGCAGAGACATCCCGAGCCAGATCTTTGCAAGCTTCATAGACATTGTGGTGCGGTCCCCGTGTGACTCCTCGCTGTGCTGCGAGGCCTGTATGTTTTCTGCATTGTGTCTCTTGCAAAAGAAGGCAGATTGACTTGCAAGGTGCGGCGATCATGGCACCACATATCCATATGACTGAGCTGGAGCAGCGGCTGCTTGTCCAAAAATAAGTTTGCACAGAGCTAAGTGTGGGTTTGACGGAAATCACGACTAACAATTGACGAGCACGCATAGCTGGAATTCTGGCCTGTCAATTTCATACGCAGGCTAGATCAGACACACCTCAAGAGCTGCCAGGCGGAGAGGCAAATACAAACTGTTAGTTTGATGCTCAGGCGAATTCTCCAACAGAGGACGCTGCATGGTCCCTCCCCCACTTAAAAGCTCACCTTGAAGACTATGACATGAGTCCTGGTGGCTCCAGGTCACCGGTGCCGGATGACCTTCTATGATGCCTACCTGGACCTTGCTGAGAAGCTCATCTCGTACCAAGCTCAGCTCCGGGATTTCCCGATTTTTCTGAATGTTGTCAGGACGTGCTTGACAAAGCCAAGCAAGACGCGAAGTACTGGGCGGCTTCTGACTTAGTCAGGAGTGCTGAGAAGAGAGCGTGAGAGTTTCTTTCCCCAGCTGCTTGGTGCCTTGTTGCAAGTTTGACTTAGTTTCTGGCTCCGACCACGACCAATGCTCTTTTCTCCTTGAATCTCTATTCCAGTCTAAGGCTACGGTTCACGGCAAAGATTTGCGGCTGGTGAAAATTTCGTGCGGTTTTTTCAGAGAGGAGCTCCCTTTTACCTAGTTGTGGCATTGTCTGCGACTAACCTGTTGCTGTGAAGGAGATTCCGATGTTCGAGCGATTCCGCTACCGGATGTTGTGGTTGGTAGAGTGGAGGCAGTTATTTCTTGGCCACCACTGCAAGCGGAGTTCTGCAGTCTTGTCATACACGGCATTACAAGGTGTTAAGGCCTCAGCAGCAGGCAGATGCAAACAAGTTCAGCAGGATCTCTTCAAACTCCAAACTTATGGATGAACTAACCTTTTGTGACAATACCATTTAGCAACATTTTGATCGCCTAGCTTTTGCAATCCAGCCGTTCCTTCGCATGCACTTGTGCCGCCAGTGTTTTTGAGAACTTTGTCATCATTCTCATCATTTGCAATGCGCTGGTGGCTTGTGCAAGTCTTGTTCTATGGCAGTCCTTGACCTGCTTAAAACGGTCGCCAGGTCATGGCACATCCCGTGGCATATGATGAATTAAGCCAACCCAGAGGCCACAAGGGATGCATGAGAATCACAGCCAAGACTTGTGGTCGTGAGATGTCGTGAGGCGTCCAAAACACTTATTTCGTCTTCGAGACCCTGGTTTCTGCCTACCTGGCAGAAGTTGGTGGAAGGGAGCTGCTTGATTCATCCAGAAGAACAGCATCCGACACTGGCCTCAAGTGCCGCAGTTCAAAGCGGCCAGGCAGTGTTTACCATCGAGTGCATGTGCCGCATCATCGCGCAGGGCCTTTTCTTTGGCCATGGCCTAAAATCAACACCAATGTGAGTTGCGCTCCTAACAAGCGCGTTCTGAGGCGATGCGCCGAACCCTTGCTACTTGAAAGAGCCCTCGAACTGGATTGACATGATTGTAGCCACTCAGCTCAAGCGTTTGAAGCCTTGAGTCCCAGCATGTTAGAGGCAAGAAGCCCATCGCCTGGCGCAGGTCATTTTTACCTTCGTGGAGCCTTTTGCTGCGGAAGCTGCGCACTGAGGGATTTTGCTGAACGCATCTCACACCTATGGAGTGGATTCAGCGACAGCACTGAGGTGATTTCAGAGCAAGACCTGAGGACCATGAGAGTTCTCCGCATCTTCCGCGCCATTTCCTCGGCATATCCTAGTTTTTGTTGGCAAATTTGATCCATGCGATCGTGCTTCGGAGGTTTTTCGCGTAATCAGAGGAATGACCTTTCTGCCACGCTTGCGGACCCAGAATGCAAGAGCTCTGGATTTTGTGCTGTTGTTGGATGCTCCTGGATGCTACACTGCTAGATTCTGAAGAAACATTATTAGGCGGGTAGTTCCCCCTTTATGTGCCTTACATGCCCCTTGATAGCTTTAGGTGTCACCCCGCAAGCCTTACCTAAGCCTTATACAAAGCTACCCGCCTGGCGACTCCCTACTGGAGAGGGGTGCCTGCCTGCCCGAAAATACTTTGAGTAGACATTTATTGCAGGACCATTGTACAGTCGCTGTCTAAGAGTGCCTCAGCCTCGGCCTCTTTGTCAGAAGCCTGGTGGAACCTTCTTAATTCTTCTAAGTTGTATCGCCTTTGGATCTCCTTCCTTGCGATTACGTTTACGCTGATCGTGGTCAGCATGGCTGGGTCTGAAGCTCATGAAAACTGAAGCATCAAGTGCCAGCCAGTCAGCTTTTTCCGAATCGTTGTTGAAGGACCGATCTATTTGGCGATGTCTACTGGAGGCATTTTTTTTCTCTTCGCCCAGCTGGGAAGCTTTGATGAACAACTCTTGCGACAGGCGGTGTCGGATTTCAGATGAGCCCTATCTTCTAAACGGCACATTGGTGTGGCACGGGCCCACGACGTTGCCATGATTCCTTACAGCCAGCAGCTTTCCAAATGGTAATGTGCAGGCCAGTGGACCCTTCACAGCCACGGTTCTGTGGCGGCCGGTATGAGTGCGTGCGTGTCCACAGTGAAAATGTTTCAGAAACTATTCTTTTCTATCAGTTGGCAAACAAAGACTGACTTAGCCAAGGTGCCTACGCCTTCGGGTGCCCCAACCTATTGCCGGTCTCCCGTCTGCCGCTCAAAAATTCGCTCAGAGCTCAGTGCCCTGGCTGCGTAAAGAGCCAGCCAAGCTTCAGGTGAGCACAGACTCGGGCCCACTTCCTGGATACGACCCATGGCCCGAGCTCTTCGAGAATCCACTGGCGGCTTGTCTTGTGTGCAATTGCGGCTTTTCAAACTTGGCGCTTGAATTTCGAGCAAGCCTATGCTTGAATCTAGCGGAGTTGATTTGGTTTTTAGGCAGTTCTTGTATTTCTTGTTCTGTTTCTGTGGGTGCCGAAGGATAGAAGACAGGGCGGCTAAGAGGCAGAGCCTTGTGGGCCTGTTCAAGATACCTTTTAGCCAGAGTTTTGCATCCTGCAACTCAGGCTGACTATGGCTTCACTGGGTGCCCACGCTGAAGCAGTTGTAACTCTGCTTTCTTTGCCAGAGTGAGAGTGAATACATTCCATAAGGTATCAAACTCTGTGGAGTGGCCTCCTCACAACCTTTCAGGCAGGACAGCTGTTCGCTTCTGCTTTGGAGCTTAGGCAGATGACTTTGCCTGGAAAGCTCAGGTGGTCAACATTGACGGGTGGAGCAGCTTGATGCACCGTTTTGAGGAGTGTGTCTTCGTCATGGCCTGACATTATATTTTTTGACGATGGTCGCAAGCGCAGGATGCCAAATGGCCCGGCCTAACCGTCCCCTTTTTCATCTTGCTCATGCTTTTCGGAGGCAGGTTGTGGCGGTTGCGGGGCTGGGTTTCACTCATCTTCTTCATTCAACGAATTCAAAGTGGGAGGCTTGATACTGATGAACCTGGTGCTGGCAATACTGTGGCATTCCTTCGACACGACGGTGCAAGAGGACTTGAGTTCTGTTCGATGCCGAGTTGGAAGCAACTGTGGTGTGGCCATGGCCGTTGATGTTGGGCCTCGGCAAACCCCAGTGTGAATTCTTTGTGCGTATCGGCGTGCCCTGGAACAGGACAGATCAGAAATGGGCGACAATAAGCTGAAGATGGAGGCATCTTTCGCAAGAATCTGTAACATTTGCACCTTTGGAAGCGCTTCGATGCAGGCCAAAAGAATGAATCCCAAGCCCATGATCACCCCTGACATCCAGCAGATGCCGCTTCATGCCCTTGTAGGGCCCACAGTGCTGGGTGCATCCTTCCTTGAGCCCTTTCCCAGCTTTGAAAAGCAAGGTAAACGCAGTCCAGCAACTCGAGGCATGCAGAAGCACACATTCGCCCAATTCGAGAGTTTGGAGAGCTGTGCGGAGCTGTGCGAGTCGTGCGAGGTGGAGCTGGCAGCTGCGCAAGCTTTCCAAGCGCTTGACACGGACAGAGCCCTTTTTCAGAGCAGCGTTTTTTCCCTACACCATCCCCACACATTTCTTTGTTTGGCGAAGGAGTTCAGGTCCATGGGACTGAAGAACATTTGCTACAGCATGATTACAAGTCCATGGCCGACAGCCGAGCCTGACGCTGCCTGCTGCAGAGATATCCATGCATTCTGCTTTTCTGAGGTTTGCCCGTGTGATGAACTTCATCATTCTGTTCAATGCGCTCTGCATGTGCTTTGACATCTATCCTCCCTATGTTGCTTGGCAGCAGGGACTCATTGGTGATGACCGGTTTTTAAGACGAGTCTGTTTGCTGTTTGCGATGCGAAGAACTTCTGGACAGGATGACACGGTGCTCCTGATCTTGGACAACATTAACTTTCTTTGCTCGGTCATCTTCTTTTTCGAGGCGGGGCCATGCGTGCAAGATGCCACCTCTCTCTCTCGGACCTCGAGATGATTGAAGCGCATTGCGTGCATTGCGACAGGTCTGTATCAAGATCATGGGAGTAGGCGTGTCATTCTTCGAAGACAATGGGAACAGGCAGGTGGTGTGCTTCTTGCATCGACGGGCCGGAAAACATCCTGTTGGTAGTTCCAGGTTTGACTTCCTGCTGGTAATGCTCTCCGTGGTGGAACTCTTTCTGAGTGGCGGCTCTGCGCTGCAGCTTCCTCAGTCGTGATCGTGAAATATCGTGACCGCACAATCAGCGGCTTTACAAACCTGAGAGGTCCGCTCTGCGAACAGCAAGGCTGCTGCGAATTTTCAGGATGATCCACATGAGCATGTCCCTCCAATGAAGTACCTACTGTCTGTGATTCAATGCATGGTGCTGCAGCCAAGGAACTTCCGAATCCTGCTCATGGTGTTCCAGAAGGCTGCATGCTCAGGAGTTGGGGAGGCAACCTTCTTCTGACATCTCCTGACTCATCATGAGGCGGTGACACCTACGCTGTATTTTTCCATGATCGTTATTCTGCCAATGCCTCGGAAGCATGCCAGCTCGGCATGACTGCCCTTGTGGGCACTCAGGTTTCTCTACTGCTCCTGCTTGGCTGGCCTACAGATTTTCAACCAGGACGACGGTGCTGGGCCTGGTGGAACCCGCGTTTGGATAATAGAGTGGTGATTCTCAATCGGATTGGATGCGCCATGCCTAAGTTGCTAGCGGCAAGTTGGGACTGGGCTTCGAATCACTGGCACGGCGCCCTGTTTTTTGTCACATGTTTGGACACCTTCTGGAAGCCTGCTGAGGCGATGGGTTTCCTGACGTCGCTGGCGATCTTTTCAGCAGACGGCTGGCTTGACATTACCACCAACCAAATTCAGGGCAAGGACGGCTGCTTGAGCCTGTCTGCGCATCATGTTGAAGAGCATATAATTTTGCAGCATTTTTATGAGGAGAACACTTGCATACACTTGCTAGTATCAAAACAGTGTGGCTGCCGGTGAACTGACTGCTGCACGACCAAGAGGAGCAGTAGTAGATGCATGTCATGGTGGTCCGGCATTATTGAAACTTACCCGCTAAGCATTTTTTCTACTTGATGCGCTACTCAACTTGCTGGAGTAGGCTTTGCTGAGCTCTGCATGGTTGAAAACCAAAGACCTGGTCAAGCCCGCCGCCAACAAACGCTGGCCATCGTTTCCAAATGCTGCCAGAATTACCATAGAGATCCGTAGAGGAATTTATCTTCGCCTATCCCCCACCTGTGGAAGCCCCGACAGTAAAGCCCAGCATGCTACAGGACAACCAGCTATTTGGGTTCTTCTACTTTTTGCTCACCTTTGCGCCAGTTGCTGAGGGCATCACAGCAGCTGTCTTACCAGTCTTTGATTTCTTTGTCCCAGGCTTGGCAAAGCAGTCTTGAAGAACCTCTTGCTGGGCATCATCGCTGCGGAGTTTACCGTTGCGCGAGATGTCATGAAGCAGGCCCTGGGGATGACGAACCAATGCGATTGTCTCTTCTTGTTTTGCCGCAGGACTTTCGGCTTCGCATGGCGATCGCTCGAGCCAAACTCGAGAAGGTGGGTCTGTGATGTGTCGTCTTTTCCGGGAAGCTTTTCAGAAGGGTTCCTGATTTGAAGGTTGGGGTCCAGGGGTGCAGGAGGTGACCAAATTTCGTTGCGTTGTGTGGGCAAGATTCCGCAAGCAACAGCGAAGCGTCCGCGAGTGTCGAGAGTGTCACGGGAGTGTCGCAGGAGTGTCGGACCTCCCCGGGACCCCGAGGGTTGCGATCCTACTAGCAGTACTTGATAGTACTTGTCGTCGCTTGTGGAGCGTCGTCTTCTGGTCTCGTGTCAGGAGTGTCAACAGTCACAGGGATGGGACGTGTCGGGGTCGCGATCCTCGTACCTGTGATCCCTTTTAGAGCCTGGTCTTTCTTGTGGGGCGTCAAAAGTGTCAACAATCACAGAGAGGAGGTACAGGAAAGAAGAGAGGAGCGGAGCGGAGTGGAGAAGAGAGTGTGGATAAGTGGAGGAATAGTGAGGAGTGAGGAGTAAAGGAGTGGAGTCATGGACTGGGGAGGAGTGGAAGAGCGGAGAAGTGTGGACAGGGTGAGAGGAGAGAAGAGAGGGGAGAGAGAGGAGAGAGAAAAGAGACGAGACAGATGAGAGGAGAGGAGTGCAATGGAGTGGAGAGAGGGATGGGAAGGAGTATAGCAAAGCAGAGAGAGATGAGAGAGAGAAGAAAGATAGCCGTATATATTATGTAGCCATCTTGGCTCAAGTCTTCCCTGACTCCCTGGCTGGGGGTAGGTGGTGCCGGGCGCGGCTGTTTGGGAGGTGGAGTGTTCGGGCGGGTGCGCACCGATCTGGCGAGGGGGGGCTTGAGTCCTTTGTGAGCAGTTGTTGCCAGACAATTGGGTGCAAACGCCTTGCCTGCCCTGGAACTGACTGACAAAGGTCGCGGCTTACGGGCGTGCAGAGCAGAAGAACCTCCTCGAGGGAGAACGCTGACTGCTGGCTTTGCAGCGGGAATACCTGAGTGACCTCGCGGAGGCGAAGGAACCTGGACTGATGGGCAGGAAGAGAGGGAAGAAATGACGGATGCACAAAGAGCATGAGAGAAGTGACAGCCCTGGAATTGCAAGACAGGGTAGTGTGAAGCAGAACGGACTTTCGCTATAAATGAGTCAACATATGCTTGCTTATGATGCTTTATTTTAGAAACTCAAGTTTCGTTTTGTTCCAGAAACGTCTCAGATTCATGTGCTTGCGATTGTCTCCGAATTTAAGTGCTTGTGATTTGGACACTACATGCTCCCACCGCGGCCCTACATCATCAAGCTACCTGAGTGGTTGGAAATTTGTTCAGCCTTGAGGCGCGTGTGTGAAGAGGCGCTAAGGGTGTAGTGCTGCAGACCGGAGGGGGCGTGTTTCCCGGTAGATGGAAGCAGAGGGTCCGCCTATTTTTTCAGAAAGTGAAGACAATCTCATTGGCACATCTCAGGTCTGCTTGTTGTGGGCGAGATTTCATAATTTGGACATTCAGCTGTGGAGCCAAGACTGCGCCATCGAAAGCGCACGCCTTTCATCCGTGTCTGAAGCTGCCCGCGCCCAGACTTTAGCATCTTTGATTCAAAAGATCCGCGTTGAACTTGATCGAATTAAGCGCCTGCTTGACAGCTTGCAATCGCGTGTCCAGCGGTGTGAAACGGCTCTCAACTTGAATTCCCTTGATTAGTTGCAGTTGCCCGCGTCAGTCATGTTGCCTTCCGAGCCTTCGCAAAGCAGTGGGGAAATCTCCTCAGGCTGGGAAGGAGTACAGTTTATTCCTGCAGAAGGTAGGTTCTCACGTGATGACCCGTTAGACATTGCCCCCCTTAAGCAGCTGGTTTTCGAAACCCATGTGCGTAATCCAATTGCTGAGGACTTGAAGCTTCCTTGGGAAAAGGGTATTTTCTCGGACATCTCTTCGGGAAGTACCACACCTTCTGTTCTTAAGCTGCCTAGCCTGCCATCAATCCAACATGCACCCATGCCAACTCCGGCAGAAGCAGTCGTTTGCAAAAAGCGTAAGCTACACAAAATTGCCAGCAGTGTGGTAGAAATCTTTCGAGTCATATCCGATGAAGATTACGCACAGAAGCTCACTGTCCAATGGACAAGGGCAACAGTGCTGTGGCTTTTGGTGCTTGAAGGCTGTGATCTCCAGGTGTCGTCCGGACACCACGTACGTGCATTTCTTGAAGTTGGGGATAGGCAAGGTGCCCTTGAGATCATCCGTGATTGTTTTGGCAACAGGTCACCTTCAACCGCATGCAAAAGAGGGCAAGACTTAGCTCGGTTCATTTCTTGGTTGCGTAAAAAGAAAAGGTCTTGGTGGCCGCTCAAGGAGGCCGATGTGCTTGATTATCTTAATGCGTCCAAGAAAGAGGGCCGATCCAAGTCAAGAGGCAAAGAGCTTGCTTCTGCCATAAGGTTCTTCAAATACATCATGGGCGCGCCTGTAGATTTGGAAACAGTGCTCACTTCGCTTGTAGTTGGGAAGTCCAACCGTATGGCATTCAGCAAAGGTCTGCGTAAGCAAGCGCCCGCGCTCAGCGTTGAGGAAGTTGAAAATCTTGAGCAACGGGCAACGGGTTCTTGAGACCAGCTCCCCCCTTTGCGGTTGCCTCCTGTTTGCACTTTTCGCAAGGTGCCGCTGGAGTGATCTTGTGTGTTGGGACTCTCTTGAGTTCGATTACAGGGTGCACGAGACCGGAATTTATGGTTTCATTGAGGCGAGAACCCGCGTCCACAAAACAGGTACATCGGAGGAGAAGAAAGCCATGCAAATGCCTTTGGTTGCCCCAATCCAAGGTCTCCTCTCGAAACCTTGGTCGCTTGTGTGGAAAGAGTCTTTGGAGTTCTTCGGCCTTTTGCCTGGGGGTGACAAATTCGGTGCCCTTTGTCGGCCAGTGGACAAAGATCAAAATTTGTACAAGAGGTCTGCCATCAGTGCTGAAGCATCTGACGTGTTACGTTTCTTCACTCAGGATCCCGATGCGCCCGACTCCTCCCGTGTGGACCCCAAGACCTCGCGCAGTTTGAAGGCTCTGCCCTCCTGATCTGGGCATCAAGGTAAGGAATGGATGAAAATTCACGTACCCTTTTTAGGGCATCGCGCGGTTCCAGGTGACAGCTTAGCTTGTTACAGTCGCGACATGCTTGCAAGACCCCTAAGAAAGCTAGATAAGATGCTTGCAGATGTACGCGCAAGGCGCCAGAGAATCAAACATCTTGGGCCGAAGCCGCTTGGTATGATCAGGCAGCTGACAGAGCTGAAGCTGCTTCAAATTATGAGCCTGGACAGCTTTCGCAGCCCTGATTTTCCCTTAGACCTTGATGCCGAGAGGTCTGGTGCGCGTGACACTGCAGTGCACCTTGATGAAGAAGCCTTGCCCCTAATCGACAGTCCTGAACCATTGTGTGTTTCCGAAGAGGCAGATTTGGTCGAGAACAGCCCAAATCAGAGAGTTGACGAAGAACATGAAACTTCAAACCCTGAGGCAATGCAACTTAGCGCAGGAAGCGGAAGTGGACGCCGAAAGTGATTCCAGCAGTTCATCCACTTCGAGCAGCTCCGAGTCGGGAGTCAATGAAGAAGAGTTCAACCAATCGCAGAGCAACAATTTGATGGATCCAAGCAAAACAGTTGTTGCAGGTGCCATTTTGCAGAACACAAAATCCAGGATGTTGCGCAGGCCGAGCGCAAGTGCCAACGCAGCAACCATGTGTGGAATCAAATCATCGGCAAATTTTGCAAGGTTGGAAGGAACTCGCTTTGCATGGCCCAAGTGCTCGCGATGCTTCAAAGGAGAAGTTTTGCAGACCAAGCAAGACGTGATCAACTTCATAGACAGCAGGCTGGGCAAATCCAAGTAGATAAAGGGCCGAGACGGAGTTTTGATCGCTTGCTGGGAAAACAACTTGCAAAAGTCGCAGTGTCTGAGTGCTTGACAAGGAAAAGTGCTCGCGGCACAACCCTTTTGTCGCGATAGTTGGACGCAAGTCATTGGCTTGAGGCCAGTCTTCTCAAACTCCTCGTGCGCAGAACATTGCATTATTTCGTGCCAAAGAGGCTTGTGGCCCGAAGAGATACATCCCAACAAATGGCTTGAGGCCATGGCTTGTGGCCGTTTGGCTTGAGGCCTGAATCCACATAGTTTGTGGATGCGACTGTGCTCGAATGATACCAAATGAGAAACAAGTATGCTTGAGGCAAAAGCTGGATTGCGTGGCACGTTAATGGATGCGAACTCTTCACTTGAGGAACTTGATTAAATCAGGCAGCTTTTAGCTCAAGTCAGTTTGGGGTCATCATGGCGGCCGTGGCATTCACTGAGTCTGGGGCAACCTTCGCAAAACGCTGCAAAGAACTGGACATCAAGGATGATCTCGTTCAGGCAATGGCTACTCAAAAATTCAAGACTCTGGGGTCCTTTGCGTTTGCGGTCGTAGCCCCTGGAAAGACTGCTGAAGACACAGATGTCCAAGCGTTTGTGGACAAATTGATCTCAGGAAGACGCTGTAACCTGGGCGAGCTTGCAGCCCTGAAGCGACTTGTTTTCGAAAGTCACACATCCTTGGTTGCTCAACTTAGAGCAGATGCAGATCCTGCAGCAGACCCATCAACAAGAAAGTTACCTCCGGGCGAAAGAGCTGCTCGATTGGAGGATCAGAGAAAGCGACTGGTGGGGCTCCAAATAGAAGGCCCCCTAGAGTGCGCTTACAGCGCGCTCGACCTCTTTGCAGGAATGATGGAGTCGGATGTCTTGAAGTACGTGCATCCTAATCGATGCGTATCCCGCAACCATGAAATCATGAACTTAAAGCCGTCAAAGGAACTCAGGATCGATTCTGCAGGATCAGTGAATGTCCGCGGAACGGCGCCTACCATGGAGTGTCAAATCCATTCAGAGCTTGAGTGCCAACAAGCCATGCAACGCAGAGCCTTAGCCATGGATGCAGTTGGATTGATCAGCTTTGAGATTGGCGTGGCTTGGGTTTAATTCCCTCTTCAACATGATGACTCAGCCGGT